AGCCTTATATATATTTAATATATATTTTTAAAAATAATCTAAGCAAAGTAGCATCTTGGTGTTATTTAAGTGAGAAACATAGGTGCATTTATGGTCATTGGTAAAATTCAGCAAAGCATTAAATATTGTAAATTTAATTTTATGCTTTTAATTCTAGCACAGCAGAAAGTATGGGTGTGAGATCCCTCTGTGTATTTTGGGCCTCAGTGAGGTTCCAAGGGTGTGTGTATGGATAGTGGTGGTTCTTCTCACAGTGCTGCTACTATTGGCAGCATTTTAGGGAGATGTTTTTTATGCAGCGTAGCCTGACTTTGCAAGACAGAGTCTGTGTGCTGCTAGTCATTTTCCTTGCCTCCCAGATATGATATGTATAAATGTATGTTAGGAAATGTTTTCTTGAGGACATAACAGGATGCTTGAGTGTGTATGAGCTACTGTGTATATGACAGGACATACCAGGATGCTGGAGTGTGTATGAGCTACTGTGTATATGAGCTACTGTTTATTCCAGGTTTGAATTGCTCAGTATGTTAAGCTTTTCTTTAGACCTGTAAGAAGAAGGGGAGAGGAACAGAGGTAACATAAGGCTGTAAGGAAATAAAACTTTCTATACCGTATAAAGAATCTCAGTCTTATTACTTGAGGTGCATTAATTTTATTGTAGTAGCTCTACTGTGTTAGCATTGAACCCTGGAGGTGTTGAAAAACTGTTGCAGACTTTCTACAAGTGCCCACTTGTTTTGTATTTATTTGCCATGTCGTTGAAGTAATTATTTTTCACCTTGATGCCCACACTGAGTCTGAAGCAGAGAGCTGGTGAGAGTGGGCAGGATGCAGAGATCACCCTGGAAAAGTTGTGCTGCAGGAGGGTCTGCAGTTTGTTGTGACACCTCGCAGGGCTGGTGGAACTGATAGAGGCAGTTCACGTGGGATGACACTGCTTGTGCTGGTAGAGTGTTTTGGGAACATTTGGTGGGATACCAAGTATGTGTTTCTAAAGCCAGATGGAAATACATGGGATTATGCCATTAGCCCTGCTCAGCTCTGTTTTACCTAAAATGTCCTTAGGCGAGCCTGCTTTACCAACTGGAAAACACTGCACTGAATAGCTGTTAAATTGAGCTTGAATATCACTCTATGATAGTACTTATTCTGTCCATGCTGGAATTCTCCTTCATTCTTTTGCTAAATTTCTGGGGCATTTTCTGTTACAAGTGCAGTGAGTTTAGACAAATTCATCTGTCAGCTATAATTCAAAGGATATCTTAATTTTAGTCTGTTTTATTTTTTTGCCACACCGCCTTGCCTTAGGCTTAATTGTTAAGTAACTGCTTATGCTGAGCATTCAGAAGGTGTTTTTGAGCACCTAAGTTGAGTTTTTGTCCTGCGTTTTCTGCTGTGGGATGCTCTCCCTCTCTGCTGCTGAGGCATGAAGACACTAGGAAAACTGACTGATACCCTTTGTTGTTTTTACATTTAAACTAGACAAATGTGCTTTTGATAGAGTGGAAGATTTTTGTATGTAATTTTAGCTTTCTGAAATCAGCAGAAGGAATTGATATCTAATATATTTGTCAAATAGCTGGAGAACTGCATTGTAACTATATCAAGAAATTTGGTTATATTGTGTGACCTTATAATTAATCAAAGAGCTACTGGTATAGTTTCTTTAAGATTTTCACCTGGAGCAACGAAGAATTAGTACAAATAAAAGCAGCTAGACATAAGCTGAGTAACTCTGACTCAGATAAGTGTCTGTTAAACATAGCTATTATAACACTATTTTTAATGTAGCCTAAAATGGAGCTCTAATCCTTGAGTGTGTGGGAAATAGAAGTGAAAAACCTCAATATACAGTGATGTGAGGGGATTTGGTGTTTGCTTTTTTGTTGTTGTGGGTTTTTTTAATTTGTTGAGGTTTTGTTTTTTAATCTGCTTTTATTGCTTCCTTTTCTTACATTGCTGGAATACACCATTCATGGGAAAGTGGTTGGTTTGTAGCAAAATTGTTTTCATTTTGTGGAGTGCTGTGGTCAATACCAGTAATTTTGTATTTTAAATGTAGGTGCTGTTTTTGTTGTTTCAGTTTGTGTAAATAATACTTAGAGCCTATGTGTTAATTGTAATCATTGAAAAGACATTAAATATAACTATAAATAGTGTTAAGGATGGAGAAAGCTCACAAAGATAGTTTTGAAAAGGGTGCCCTTGATCCACTCATCCAGATCATTGCTAAAGATATTAAACAGGATTGGCCCCAATACTGAGCCTGGGGAGCACAGGTGTGAGTGGCCACCAGCTGGATGGAACTCCATTCACCACCAGTCTCTGGACCTGGCAATCCAGTCAGATTTTTGCCCAGCAAAGTGTACACCTGTTCAAGCCATAAGCAGCCAGATTCTCAGGGAGAATGCTGTGGGAGATGGTGTCAAAGGCTTTACTAATGTCCAGGTAGACACATCCATAGCCTTTCCCTCATCCATGAAATGGGTCACACTGTCATAAAAGGAGATCAGCTCCATGACCTTCCCTGGCAGTTGGGTCAGGTTGACAGGCCTGTAGTTCCCTGAGTACTCCTTCCTGCTCTTCTTGTAGACGGGCGTCACATTTGCCGACTTCCAGTCATCTGGGACCTCCTGGGTTAGCCAGGACTGCTGGTACCTGATGGAAAGTGGCTCAGTGAGCCCTTCCTCAGTACCCGTGGGCAGATCCCATCCAGTCACAGACACTTTTGGGTGTCCAAGTGGTGTAGCAGGTTGCTGACCATTTCTTCTTGCATTACGTAGTCCGTGGTTCTCCCCTGCGTGGAACAGCTCTTCAGTTCCCACCCTGTCTACGTTACTGATCACCCTCCTAAGCAAATCAGAACAAAATAGTCATGTTGGTCTAACATCATGCATAGGAAACAAGTCATTATTGAGAATTGGCACATTTTCTTTCTGCAGAGTCAAAAGGCACATATTTAAGAAGAAAGGTCAAAATGTTACTTACAGGGGTTAACAGTGTCTATTCCTTTTTATCCTTTAACTTTTTGATCACTGGAAGCAACTTGAAAATCCTGCAAGACAAAAGCTGAGTGTAAGCTCTATTCAGCTGTAAGTTAGTTTACTTACAGTAACTGATTGTGTTGCAAAGGCAGAAAAATGAAGGTTTTTTTGTTTTTAAGGAAGAAAAAACCCCACCCCTGCAACTCTCTAAATAAAGAGATCTGACATTCTACCCACCATAATTTTCTAGGAAATTAATTCTAAGTAAAATGACATGGTTTGCAAACTGCTTCATCTGTTATTAATAATTCTATTATTTGAACTTAGTAAAATAAATCATATTTAATATTCTTTTGCTGCAGTCAAATTGGACATTTTTGCACCACTTGTAATGGTTTTGATAGGTATGTGATATACTTGAAAAAAGTAATTTGAAAAAGAGGCTAAGAGCCTCTCTTGACAGTGGAAGACAGCAGTATTTGTAATTCATTAAGGATCTGTAAAAACAGGGCTTAGCTTTGTTATGGCCTTGGGAATATGGAAAAAGAAATAAGACTGGAGAAATAACTGACAATATTGATTCTGCTGCAGAGCCCAATCCTCCAGCATAGCTCAAACGTGGGGGCTTAGCCGAAATTAAGGACTACTCTGGGGGTAAATTACATGCGTGAAGAATATGTTAGTGCTGATTGTTAATACAAGAACTGAATAAAAACTGAAAAAAGAAACCATTAATAGGACTTGCTTTCAGATTCATCCAGTTGAAAATCCTCTTTAAAAAGTGGGTATTTTACTGCCTGTTCACATTTGGGATATGCATAATAAAAATAACTGCTGTTAAAGCCAGTCGTGCAATCTGTTATGCTATGAAGAGATTAGGACTCCGCAATTCAGTTAAGCAGAGACACTGCTTGACCAAAGTCAGTGGATGTAGGTCACGGTTTTTAGTGTCTTTAAAGGCTCTTTGTGTTTGAGAAGTGTGATCTGCATCTCGTTTTAGAAGCTGTTAGTTTCTAAAGAAATGTTAGCTCTGCTATTGAACTGCTTAAGGTTTTCTCTTTTTGTGTGTGTTTGTATGTGTGAAATGTAAAGCCACCAACTGCTCTCCTGCTGTGTCCGGAAAACTGCATCTGTTCTTCAGCATTTAATGGATGTGTTCCTGTTGTGGTGGTACTTTCTGTCCCTGCTGACTCTCACTGGTTTCTGCAGTTGTTTAAGAAAAGAAATCACTAGAAATATCTTTCAAAGGGCTTTTGGCAGAACTTAAATCCATATTCCTGAGCTTCAGCTTCACTGCTTAAATATTTCTAGCCATGATTTATTGATACTGCAAAAGAGCTGACACGAAGGAAAAGAAGTAGAAGCACAGCCAGGATTCTGGCAGTCACATAGGGCATCTTAAAACCCCTGAAATATAAGAAGTAAATTTGGTTGACACTAGCTGTGTCAGCTGTGCTTGTTTTATTATTTTTATGAGTTTGTTTATGGTGTTACAGCAATACTTTATTCCAGATGCTACTGTTAGATACAAGTTCAAGCATATATTTATGTAGTTCAGAAACGAGTTCATATTTGAATCTGCTTAAATTATAATACTCTTGTCAAGAATGTTAACTGCTTAATATGTTGTTTGCTGTCTACATTGCCTAGGGAGATGCCTAAGTTTTCCTGTGTTGTAAATGACTGGTCATGAATAACTAAAAAGTGGTTTGTATTTGTAGTAATTTTTTGATTGGTGTTTGTTCTTTTTTTTTTTTAGGTCCATTTTCCAGACACAGAGAGGGCAGAATGGCTCAACAAGGTAAGGGGGCAGACATTGGCATTGCTTCCAGATGGGAAGGGGCAGGAGGGAAGTCTGAGATTAAAATAAAAGGTGAGGCAAGAATCTGAGAACAGAGTAGTTTTGACTTTGTGCTCTTTATACACTCGAAGTTTCTGGCTGTTGATCCAGTTAGTCACCAGAAAGATTAGATCTATTTTTATGGTCTTGAAATTGTGAGTTTTGTAATTGATTTTAAGTGGCATTACAGTAATGACAGCTATAATTGTGTGGAATTCCTAGCAGCTGTAAACACAGTCTTTAATTTTCTACTTGTCTGGGAGACTTTCCAGTTACTGTAGGTTCCTGACCTACAATCTAAAAATAAATGAAATTTGCAGTTTTGATGTGTGTGTGTGTGTGATAATCTGAGATACAGGTTTATGTAGCTTCTTGGGCTTTTAAAAAAAATCTCTTTCACTCAAAGAGTACAGAGGAACATTAGTTAAATAGAAAATAGTAAGAAAAAATTCGCAATATGGAATTTTCAGATATGGCAGTAAAATACTGGGATTTTTTACAGTTATAAACCTTATGTATGTATTCAACAACTGTGCTTCACCCATTTTTTCCTATTCCTCTTTACTTGCAAATAAATTTAACCCTCTTCATCCTTCTCCCTGACATTCAGCATCACTGCTGAATGCATATGTATTTGTAGGATAAAAGAAACTTCATGATATTGTTTTTCTCGTCTTCTAGTGCTTCAGATTTGTGCAAATTTATAAAATATACAAATTGAGAATTCCTGAAAGTTTTCCTGCATGTAAAAAGGAAGCAGCTTTTATATCTGTAATGAACTGTATAGAAAACGTGTATGTTTAAAATTTATAGAAAATTTCTTACATATGCCTTAAAGAATATTTTTAGCTCTCTGTGAAGTTGTGTTCCATATAGATTTTTTTTCTTTTTCTCCTTAGACTGTCAAACAGATGTGGCCTTTTATTTGTCAGTTCATTGAGAAACTCTTCCGAGAGACCATAGAACCAGCAGTAAGAGGAGCAAACAACCACCTCAGTACCTTCAGTTTTACAAAGATTGATATTGGTCATCAGGTCAGTGCATGGTGAAGTTTTTCTTAGAGGTCTCGTTTTACATACCATTGTCACGTAGCCTGTTCAGATCTACACAGAAATATTTCTCAGTGACATTTCTCAGTGCTCATAAGCCTGATTCTAGTTTCTGCTGTAACATTAAAATTAAAACTTGTGGGTTTTTAGCAGAGGCTTCATTTTTATGTTTCCTGGGCTCTCTGCTTCAGGAACCTGAGAATCAGGAGAAGTATAGTCATTCCAAGTCACATGAAGAGCTCATAGTGATATGATTTTGATGTTGTTCATGTAATACTTTGTTAGGTAAGCAGTATCCTTTTCTTTCTGGATAATCCAAGATATACTAGTATTATACTGTATTACAGACTGTAGCATTCCTTTTAAGTCATTCTAATTTTAAGTAAGGCTTAAATTAGCTTCCACACCTCTGTATGCTTCTGCAGCTGGACCAAGTTATCTCGGACATGACAAACAGCTATTCTTAGTTTGTACTGCAGCCTGGATTGTTTGCATCCTGTGAGGTGCACAGCCCCAGCACAGTGGGAGTATGACAGCAGGGAGATTCTGATTTTACTAAAATCACTAAAGAGGTGTAAATAGAAATATGATATTTTTTCCAGAAGGGAAAAAGTAGAAAGTAAGGTTGTTGGTCATCCTCTCCTGCCTAGTGTTTGATGAATCTTTGAGGCTTGGGAATGTTTGATTGATGTGTTGGTTCTGTATGAGGAAGGGAGAGAGGGAGACCATGAACACAATGATTTTGCACTTGATTTGAAGCGCAAGGTCCTACATCTGGGTCATGGCAATCCCAGGCACACCTATAGGTTGGGTGGGGAAATAATCGAAACCAGCAGTGAGGACTAAGACTTGTCAGTGACAGTGGATGAGAAGCTCAGCATGAGCTGCAGTGTGAGCTCAGCCCAGAAAGCAAATCAAATCCTGGGCTGCATCAAAAGGAGTGTGGCTAGAAGGTCAAAAGAGGTGATTCTCCCCCTTGACTCTGCTCTTGTGAGACTCACCTGGAATACTGCACACAGTTCTGGTGTCCTCAACATAAGAAGGACATGGAACTGTTGGAGCACGTCCAGAGAAGGGCCACAAAGTTGATAAGAGGACTGGAGCACCTCTTCTGTGAAGATGATCTGAGGAAGTTGGGGCTGTTCAGCCTGGAGAAGAGAAGATTGCATGGAGACCTCAGAGCAACTTCTTGATATCTGAAGGGGACCTACAAGGGAGCTGGAGAGGGACTGTTTGTTAGGAATTGCAATGATAGGACAAGGGGTAATGGGTTCAAACTGAAGGAGGGAAAGTCTAGGTTGGATGTGAGAAAATAATTTTTTACTATAAGGGTGGTGAGGCATAGGAACAGGTTGCCCAGGGACGTGGTGGCTGCCCCAACCCTGGCAGTGTTCAAGGCCAGGCTGGGTGAGCCTTGAGCAACCTGACCTAGTGAGGAGGTGTCACTGCCCAGGGCAGGGGTTGGGACTAGATGATCTGTAAGGTCCATTCCAACCCCAAAATTCTATGATTTACAGAGAGACAGCACAGAGTGGTTGACACATCTTTTTGTGGTAATTATGGATTCTTTTCCATCCATTCTCACTAAATTTCACATTTTTGTGAATTATAATTAGCTTGTTGTTTTAGATGCACAGAAAAGATTGATTTTCTGTAGGTGTGCCTGGGATTGCCATGACCCAGATGTAGGACCTTGCACTTAAAGTGCAAAGTCATTGTGTTCATGGTCTCCCTCTCTCCCTTCCTCATACAGAACCAACACATCAGTCAGTGCCTAACACTTTGAGAGTGTTAGGCATATATGTGTACAGACAAACGAGATGTTTATTGGGGGCAGAAGAAAAGCTTGATAATAAATATTTTTTAAGTCTTGAAATCTAGTTGTCTAGATCCAGGGTAATTTCCAGAAGGATTATGGTTAAGTAGATCCATTTTTACCCTTGAAATAACAATTTGAACTAAATTGATAGTTTTGCTTCACACCTTTTATGATGCTTATAGTGAGTTCTTAACTTCAGGCATGAATGTGCCTATATTCACCTTTATTTGAAAGTTAAGTGTTATGCTATAGTTAACATGTTATAGTTCAGTGAAAAGTCCAACTTTTACTTGCTGCATTGTTTCAGCCTCTGCGGATCAATGGTGTAAAAGTGTACACTGAAAATGTGGACAAAAGGCAGATCATTTTGGATCTTCAGATCAGGTAACCTTTATTACCATGTTACAGTGGTGTCCATGCTTTTTAAATGTGCTTTTGTTTGATTTGGCAGTTATGTTGGCTTGAAAGGAGAAGAATTGCTTCATTACGCAAATGTAGTTAGTTGTAATTGTGTATGAATGGAGGAAGGAACTACATGCTGTAAATAGCATTTATCTGAGGGAAATGGAATATCAACTCAGTGTGACTGTATCATTGAAGTCATGTTGGTTAATAAAAAAAAAATACTTTCCAAAGATAAAGCACTGTCCTTGAATTTTTTTCTAATATGCTGATACTTTGCCATTAAATTTAGTCTAAAAATCAGGATGAAAGATGTTTGGCTTTTTTAATTTTCTCAGTTACATAGATATTTTTTTTTTTAAAAAACCACAATATTAGGAAAAGATAATGACGGCTACAGAAGTTCTTGTGCACATACCACAGAAGTAAATCTGTGTATTATGAAATGCCAGAACGACTGTGCTCCATTACTTCGGGTTTTTTGCCATTTCATTACGACCCCGTTGATATGGGCTTCTGAATAGATCTACCCTGTTTGCCCAAGTCATTCTAAACACAGTCTGCACTTACTGGTTTTTTTTTCAAAGTTCTGTGACCCCAGCAATGTTTTTATAACTGGCCATCATAGCTGTGTGTTACAGTGACTGCTTTTGCCTGTTTGTAGGTAGTGGAAAGGCCAGATCTGTCAGTCCCTGACAGTCCAGCACAGAGCAGCTTTGTGTGCTTCTCACTGCTCCCCTGGCTGGAACCAGAAAGGTCCTCAGGCTCCTCAGCCTCAGAATCATTTCCAAAGTTTGAACTTGGTTCTTCTTAATTTTGAATTACTTGTCTAAATCTCACCTATGTAGAAGTCTCTGCTGCTTTGGCAGTGCTGGGCAGGCCCCAGAGTGGTAAGAGAAGATGCTTCTGTGTCCTTCCCTGGGTTTCAGAGTGGGGTGGGGGCTACATCTGTGACCCCAGTCTTTATTGAATTGAATCACTTTGTCTGTAGAAAGAAGACAACTATCCAAGTCAGAGATTGGTGTTGCTGGATAAAATGCAACAGGATTGACTCTTGAGAGCTTATTGCACTGGATGGATGTGTTAGCCGTAAGGGAGAAATTTCCTTCAGTTTTCCCTTTGTTGCTACTTTTGATAGCAGCTGTGAGAACAGCCTCACCTTTTCAGACATAAGCCCTCTGAAAAACAGTCTTGTCTGACTACTGTGGATGTAGTGCAATGAAATTGGTTTTGGGAACCTGTTTTTGAGACATTTGAGGGACCAAGTCTTCCAAGACACCTTCTTCCCTTTACAGCAGAATTATTCCCACAGGAGGATAGGGTAAATCTAGTGCTTCTTTTCTTCTTTTTTTTTTTTCCCCTCCTGCTTGTCTTCATGAAGTAGACAAAAGTAAAAGGCCAGTAGGTTTGTACAAAAATTTCAGGAGTAATGTCCTGTTATATAGACCTGAAGGAAATCTTTACCCATATGTCTCATTACATTGCAACCTATGTGGAGCAGTGATGAACAGCTGCAGTAGAATCCAGTCTTAAAGGCTGAGATAAATTCCTTGAAGTGGTTTAAGTAACAATAATAGTGCTGAGTGAGCTAGGTGCCCAGTTAGCCCAACAGCCTGTTCCTACTGGGGGTGGCATAGGTTTCCAGGAGGAAAATGGAAAGGAGAGCTACAGAATGACTACCACAGCTTCTAGGAATTAAGGCTTAGGCAAAACTGTCTTCTGAGGAAGTCCCATTTCATATTTAAGACTTGCCCTTGACACCTCATTGGGAAAGGGCTCTTTTTCAAAGGCTTTTGCTGTGCAAGTTCAAGACAATAGCACTCCAGTGTCATTTTTTTATTGCTTGAGCTATTCTTTTGTTTTATAAATCCTCTGAGGGTCCATCACTGGGATTGTTTCAGTAGTAACAGGAAGAATAAGTGTCTCTGTGATAAATGTTCTTGGCATGTTTAAATATAGTTATGTACAGGTATCAACTCTAAGCTGTGTTTTAGGCAATCAACTTTAGTGCAGTTTTGCAAGGTTATAAAGAACAGTCTCACTGCTAGAGGAAAGTCCATTCTTTGGAGTATTTATCCCTGTATGTTTTAATCTCCAGTTAAATTAGTTTGTTCTAGTTTTCATTTATTTTTAAGGTTAAAGTTAGGAGCTTTCTATAAACCCTTCATTCCCTAAATATAGTTGAGAAGGAAAACAATCTCTGTAAGCATTCTTAAGAACAGCTGTAGGAAGACAAGCCCTGTGGGGAGTGTGGTGGGGTAAGGAAGGAAAGATTTTACTTTATTCATATTTTAATTTTTTGAAAGTATAGTCATTCTTTTAATAATCCCCTTTTATCCTGCAC